AGCTTAAATCCCATAACAGTAGACGTAGTAGAAGTATTAAGGGTAATGGAGAAGATTAGGGTTCGAAAAAATCATTCAAGAAGTAGAATCCAGTAAAAGAAATTTAAAAAGAGGAAGATAGAGATGATGAGGAATTCATGAGATTAGCATTCAAGAGAACACAAACGCTGGATGCACCTGAGACATTGCAAACCATTTGGAGCCATGTCATTCAAAGTCTTCAAACACCGATTTCTAATGTCCCGTGAACCCCAATCTTTTAGTCCACACCTACCAACATGACTCAGTCCACCTGTCAGTGATTTAATAGATTTGTGCCCTGTCTAGGTCTGGCCGCCTCTATCTTTGTTCCTGTCTAGCTCTACAACAGGTCTCATCGCTCGCCAACAGTTGGTGGTCGGCCATTTGCAACACATGTCCCAAGTATCTCATCTGGTGAAGTTTCACTACATCATCAATTGGTTTGCCATCTTTACCTATTACCCGTCTCCTGACAACGGCATTGTTTACTGAGTGATCCCTGGATAGACGAGCAGTGGTTCTAAAACACCTTTGATCGAACACTGGTTACCTACGAATATCCACTACTCTTAATGGCCATCTTTCAAACCCATATAGTAGGACGGAGCGAACTGCTGTGCAGCACATTCGTCTGTTGATTAACAAACGGATATCTCGACTACGCCATAAGTGACGCAAGTTGGCGAAAGCAATTCGAGAGTTCTGTATCCGAGCTGAGGTTTCGTCACACACCAGGCCATCGGCACTGATGAAACTCTCAAGATAATGGAAACGTTCAAAATATTCAGCTACTTCACTCCCTATCACTAGTTCAGGTGCCGATGCAACCCAATCTTGAAGCAACATTTTGAATTTCGATGGTGAGAAACGCATCCCGAACATGCTTGCATTGTTGCTTAGGGTGGTCAGAAGACTGCCTTTTTTCAGCGTCTTCACCAAGTAGGACTATATCATCGGCATATTCTAAGTCAATAAGCGAGTCTCCTGGTAGAAGGTCTACTCCTGAAAATTCAGACGAGGATAAGGTTATATCTAGGAGTATGTCTATGATAAAATTAAACAAGAATAGAGAAATTGGAAATACCTGACGGACAACACTTGAAATAAAGAATCCCGGTGACAGTTCACCATAAACTCTGACTCCACCAGTAGCGTTTGAGTAGAGAGCCTGTATAGAGTTAATGTACTTCTCTGTTAATCCTTACATTGACAGACACTGACATAGAACCTCAAGAATTACAGAGTCAAATGCCACCTTACGGTAGAAATACTACTACTGTAGGACGTCTCTACGTGTGTCCATGTTCTAGGAGCTGACGTAGTGTCAATATCTAGTCTAGGCAACCACGTCTAGGCCGGGAACCAGCATGGTTTTCTCGAGTCTGCTCTTCACGAGCACTAGATAGGCGTCGAAGTATTATTGAAGCTAATATTTTGGACACGGTATTAGTAAAAAGTGAATCTTTTGTGATTTTTACAAGATGACTTTCTACCTTTCTTCCAAACCGGAACAGTGAGTGATTGACATCGGTCAGATGGAATCATGCCTACTTCCCAGATTCTACCTAAGAACTCAGTCAATCTAACTGCCGAAACTGAACCACCAATCTACCAGGGCCCACTGCTCTCCCTCACCTCAGATTGCTTATAGTCTTTTCAACTTCACTCAGAGTCAGAGGACTTACATCAATTCGCCATTCAGATTGACTGGAGATCGTGGGTAACCGAAGTGTGGCTGAAGGTCAGTCGAACTGATCCCTAAAGTGTTCTGCGCATCGATCTGATCTCCTGGATTGAAAATGAATAATAAGCCCAACCTTCTCCGAGATAGTCTCGCTAATGGTCTGATTACTTACACACAATCACATTACTGATGTGAAATCAAATAATTTTATAATATTATGAAAATCATTTTGATTGATCTTTCATTAACGATTATCAAGAGAATAAGTTTCATGTTATTCAAATCAAATTTATAACACATTATATCAAACTTTCAACTATTCTTTAGTGCCTTAAGTACAGAACTCTGAAAACAGTATCTATAAAATTTCAGATACTCAGCTGTTGTTAGTTTTTACTCTGTAGAATAGAAACTAATTTACGGTACAGTTAAGAGAGTTTGAGATACTTTTATTTCTTCTAAAAAGACATTCAATAAAAAAAGAAATAAACTCCTCATGAATCGACCATATATTCACCAGAATAAACATTTATTTACTTAAAATTTATGTAAAAATCAGTCACAACAGTCGTGAAATAATAGCATAATGATATTAATCTAAGCAAAATATAATTTTGACAATCTATATTGTATTAACCTTGATAAAAGTTATGCACACTTAAGTATGACAAGTTTTAGGCTACAAATCTACAACAAAGAGTTCAATGTTCAGCTACGTGACCAATTAGTTTCATACAGCTAATGTTAATTTCGATGACAATTCATTGTAAGTATTCATTTATACAAACGAATACTTCCAGGTTTCAATTCCTAATTTTGCAATAAATAAACGATAATCGAAAAGGAATATACTCCCAAGATAATTCAAATGTCATGTGGTTTAATCACATGTTGTAATTGTCAGTAATAATAATAAAAAGAAGTGCATGTTAACTACATATAGAGGACAGAAATAGTTGATAACAAAGTAGCAAAAAAAAACAAGTACTTATGCCTTCGGTAATAATGTAAACAAACTCCGGTTTTATGTAAACAAGTTCAATACCACTTGTCGGTCTAAACAGCCACATTAATTAACATTCATTACTAACTTGATCGAACAGAGATAATTGATTCTAAATACTTAGGCTAAAAACAACAATCATCAACAAAGTGAAATGAACAAAGTGGAGAGGTAATTACCAAATAACAATCAATTGTAGGATGGTACATGTTATATAAGTTAATAAATGGAGATGCAATACCAAATGACAGATCAAGAATTCCATGTTAAAATATAGGCATACAATCGGGTGACTGCTGGCTAAATATAAAAGAGCAAACAGTTTTAGCGCTTACAACATAAGAAAGATTAAACAATTCAATTAATCGTTAACGCTACCTGAAGCTCCTCAGCGGCTACTGCATGTCCCAAGCCTGAACAAAGGAGCAGCGCTCGGAATGGCTCTAGCAGTCCCATCCCAAAAAACGCTAACCAGAAAATATAATTCAAACCATTTAAACTCTGTCCTAGCAGTTACAATGTCTTAATTCAGAACAGTTATGACGTCTCATGATGAAAACAGAATTCCTTCAGAAGTCACGAGGCCCGATGTAACTTCTGACAACCACAGCAACCATTCTTTTAGGTACCTGGAATGCTTGAACAATGTGGGAGACCAGAAGAGTCATCCAAGTTGCTGCAGAAATGAAAAGATACAACCTGTAGGTATTTGGAATCAGTGAAATGAATTGGACGCAGGTCGGACAACTAATATTAGCTTCAAGAGAGCTGGTGTTATACTCCAGCTATGAAGAAGAAGATGCTCGATTTAGAAAACACGTTGCACTGATGCTACCAAAATGAGCACAAAAAGCAATTACTTAGAGGATGGGAACCTCATGGACCCAGGATCATCAAAGCACCTTTCAAAACAAAGAAACAGGGCAATACAATCACCCTCATCCAATGCTACGCTCCCACCAACGATAGTAACGAACACGATGAAGATTAATTCTATGAGAGGCTGGTGGCCCTCATACTGAAATACACATCGAAGAATTTGAACATCTTGATGGCAGACCTAAACATCAAGGTTGGAATGGACAACATTGGATACGAAGACATCATGGGGCGACATGGGCTAGGAGAAGGGAACAGAACTTCCAATGAAAAGGTCAATAAATTTCTACTGTATGATGCAGAAACTTCAAGAACTACGAAAGCCATCATCCAGAACATTCGAGTGTTCGCTAACAGCTGTCTACGCAAAATACTTCCGATTCGCTGACTGGACACTCCCAACAAGAACCTGATGTGGGACAGAACAAACCAGATTCCAGCGGAGGAAAAAATGAGGGAGAAGCCCTGGAAGTGGATAGGATACACATTGAGGAAATCACATTATTGTGTCACGAGACACGCCCTCAGTTGGAATTCTCAAGTCCATTCGAAAAGAGGAAGACCGAGGAGTAGCATGATATAGTGAGGTCAATTTTTGAAGGAGAAAAACACTGTCACAAGAAATTCCAAAGATAAGGATTTGAGAGAACACAAAGAGTGGATGCATCTGCGCAATCGCAAACGCATTTAAGCCATTTTATTCAGTCGCTAACCACTAGTTACTATTAGCCCTCAGAAATCAACCTGGTAGCCTATATCTACCGACATGGCTCAGTACAGTTGTCACTAAATTCATGAATTTGTGTCATGTTTTGGTCTGGCCACTCCTAGCTTTTTCGCAGCTTAACCCTACATCATAAAACATCGCTCTTTGAGGCAGTCGGCAGGTGCGCATACGTAACACAAGTCCCAACCACCTCAACTGATGAAGATTCACAACTTCAAGAATTGAACTACGATCTTTACTGAGCACCCTTTTCCTACTATAAGTAAGCATCGCTGAAACGTGATATAGGGTCTAATTAATAAGCGAAACCGAATATCACATGTAGATTCATGTACGAAAACTTTTATATATAATGGGTCAATGGGCGGTGGCCTACTGGTTAAGGCACAAAACTTTCAGCGACTGAGTAGTATTTTCGAACATTCCTCTATCTGCTTCGGTTTGGGAAACCGGAAACTATCGCTTATCTTCACACTTATAATAGTTCACAAATAACTACAATACACAACATAATTGGTACCTGGTAAATCAATCAGTAAAAACAATAATGGGTACTATCTACTCAGAATGAAGGTTGAATAACCGAAATACTAAAAACATTTCGGTTGAAAGCTATATATCTGGTCAACATCAAACTCTCATCTACATCAATACCGAGTAAAATGAATTATGATTCAAACACCCACCTGGATGTAGAAAACCATCAGAATCAGGAAGAACATTCGTAGAAAAATAACTATTCTCATTAGTAGACAATCGTTTTCTTCTAGCATGACTGCGTCGTTTTTTAAACCGTGAATGTTTTGAAAGTGAATGATTTTTGAAAATTCGCGAATTTGATAAATATCTAGTATATGAAGAATGATAATCAAGAGAATTTTTCAAATATCTTTCTGGCATTGATGAAATCATATGACAGTATGATTCACAACATGTAATAATTGATTGTTCTAATCCTGAATCTAAATTTGATGAATGATGTTCATTTGATATTCGTAAATCGGAGTGAAATGAACTCTCAAGTGTTCCATATGAACTAGACAAATAACTAGAAATATCATGGACAGGAGGATAATAATCATTTGGATGAGTAGATGATTGAGTCATTCTACAATGTGATGACCAATAATCATCTGTCTGTTTATGTTCATTAACATCACTTCCATTTTCACTGTCAACATCATTTAGTAAAGCTTTTGTTTCAATATCACTTAAACCAAATCCAGTTGAACATTCAGATGTATTTGATGAAAAATTATCAACTAAATTATCTCTCAAATACCACATATAATCTAAATTATCTTCAGCTTGATCTAATTGAATTTGATTAGCTTGTAGTTTATACAATAAACGATCAAGTGTATCACTTAGTTTTTTTAATTCATCTGTGAGTACAACCGTTTTTTGAGTAAGATCAGTGAACTTGATTGTATCAGAATCACTACTGGGTAAGAAATTATTAAGATTTTTATTTATTCCTGGTGATGATGACGATGATGAGACTGATTTTAATAAATGATCAGGTGTATTTGTAATATGTGTACTTTTGTTTAAATCTGATAAAATTTCACTTGATTGGCTTTGAAAGTAATTATCAGACCTTGTGTTAAGCAAAGAAGATAATGTATTAAGTTGTTGAAGGATATGTTCATCTTTATCTTCGCTGTCCTCATCATTACGATCATCCTCATCTTTATTATTGTCACCATCACGATTATAATGTTTTATATTCATTTGATTGTGATTATTATCATTCATTACTTTGTCTTTAATTGTGTAAATAGAAATGATATCATCGTATTCTAAACCTTCATTGTCATCGGTATTTAAACGTGAAAAAGAATCAGAAGATGAACTTGAAATGGAATGAAAACGTGAACGATGATATATGGATGGGTCAGTAGTATTTTGAGCAGTGTAATAATTTCTCTTTGACAAATATTTAAGAGATTTATTTGTTTTTTTATCTAACACTGAATCACTATATACACGATGAATCAAAGATGATTTTCTTACTGGTGAGTTGTCTAACCAAGCAACTTGTCTGGGGTCGAGGAATTCAATGACTTTTGAGAATAACTGATCTGTAAGCATAGAAGTAGTGCAATTCAGCATAAAGTCTTTATCAGGTAATTCAATATCCATAGAAGTTTGATCAGTATGCTCGTCTTTCATACTTGGAAACAATACACTGTCAATAGATGCAGAAAGAGATTTTGCACTGTTATGTTGCTGATTGTCACATATACCGGTTTTCTTGAAATTTATGTCATATGAACCGATTACTTCTGAATGAAGCAAACAATTTGATTGGTCTGATTTTGAATTGTGGAATTGTGTTTTATTATGTTCTATGAGTGGATAATCAGAACTCGCGGTTGAGTTAACAGGGGATGTTATTAAAGGAGTAAGGGTTTTATTAGATTGATTATCTGTAAGAAAAATATAAGCAAATAATTCCATCGATATTTTTAGACATATATTCTGACTGATAAAAAAAAATAATAATGAGACAGAAAAGTGTGATTGCTTACAAGTGGACCATGAGTGTTGGATAGTTACATTTAATTCACTCTTAGATGTTTGTAGAATTAGTAAGTCACCAGACAAAATGTACAACCGACTAAACTACAAAACGGAATAACTTGAGGATTTCCATCAATATGAAAAAAATATTTGGTAAAACAACTTAAGCAAAAGTTAGTATAACAAAATGCTAATTTTGAGAGACATTTCGAAAACTATCACAGCGTATATATGTCTCATACTGTGAAGCTATCAAATAGTAAAATGAAGTTGGGTTAATTTAAGATATGGATCAAATATGGAAAATTAAGGCCTTGAGGTGATCGAATAGTTCACTTGAAAACTTACTTCCTTATGTCAGTTACCTCTAACGCAGGATACGCCGCAGACCAGTATTCACCATCCAACTCTGTCCAGCGTCTTCCTTTCCAGTTTTACCAAATCACTGTTCATTCTTTTCACATCTGCTTCCGATTCTCAGTGCATAGTGCTCCTCGGTCTTCCTCTCTTCCATTGGCCTTGAGAATTCCAACTGAGGGCATGTCTCGTGACACAATAATGTGATTTCCTCAATGTGTATCCTATCCACTTCCAGCGCTTCTTCCTGATTTCTTCCTCCGCTGGAATCTGGTTTGTTCTCTACCACATTTGGTTCTTGTTGATAGAGTCCAGTCAGTGAATCGGAAGTATTTTGCGTAGACAGCTGTTAGCGAACACTCGAATGTTCTGGATGATGGCTTTCGTAGTTCTCGAAGTTTCCTCATCACACAGTAGAAATTTATTGACCTTTGCATTGGAAGTTCCGTTCCCTTCTCCTAGACCATGTCGCCCCATGATGTCTTCGTATCCAGTGTTGTCCATTCCAACCTTGATGTTTAGGTCTGCCATCAAGATGTTCAAATCCTTTGATGTGTGTTTCAGTATGAGGGCCACCAACCTCTCATAGAATTAATCTTCATCGTATTCGTTACTATCGTTGGTGGAAGCGTAGCATTGGATGAGGGTCATTGTATTGCCCTGTTTCTTTGTTTTGAAAGGTGCTTTGATGATCCTGGGTCCATGAGATTCCCATCCTATAAGTAAGTGCTTTTTGTGCTCATTTGGGTAGCATCAGTGCATCGTCTTTTCTAAATTGAGCATCTTCTTCTTCATAGCTGGAGTATAACACCAGCTCTCTTGAAGCTAATATTAGTTGTCCGACCTGTGTCCAATTCATTTCACTGATTCCAAATACCAACAGTTTGTATCTTTTCATTTCTGCAGCAACCTGGATGACTCTTCTGGTCTCCCACATTGTTCGAACATTCCAGGTACCTAAAAGAATGGTTGCTGTGGTTGTCAGAATGTACATCGGCCTCGTGACTTCTGAAGGAATTCTGTTTCCATCATGAGACGTCATAGGTCTTCTGAATTGAGACGTTGTAACTGCTAGGACAGAGTTTATATGGTTTGAATTATATTTTCTGGTTAGCGTTTTTGTAGCGAGTTAGTTTTTTTAAGATGGGGTTGCTAGAGCCATGCCCAGCGCTTCTCCTTTGTTCAGGCTTGGGACATGCAGTAGCCGCTGAGGAACTTCAGGTGAAGTTTACATGAATACATGAACTCAGAAGATCAATAGATCTGAAAGTTAGTGTTTGCAACGTTACTATTTTTATACCTTTTTATACAGAGCAATATAGTAATAGTCTTCGTTTCGTTCAGATTCAAGCACGAAAGGCTGTGCATATTATGATGTGAACATACTTTCGTACAATTTCTGAGCCGATAATTGAAATTAGTTCAGTAATTCAAAGTTCAAAATCTATAAATTCTGACGAATCAGAAACCAAACCAATTAAAAAACATCTATTAAATCCTTTTATCCAGCCCTATGGAAAATATCCCGAAAATAAAAAAACAAATAGACGAAGGGACATTTCAAATCAAGGAAGTGTTCATACTGAACCATAAATAATATGTAAAGTGTATAGGCAGTTGATGCCTACCGACAACCTACATCATGGATTGCTATTTCTTCTGTTACTAAACCTTAATACAATCAGCGACATGATTTTATAAATGATTCAGATATAGAAAGCATCCTGTGATAAGTACAAAGATGGTGTTTAAAGCAGTTTAGAGAGCATATGCTTCATTTTCCTCATTTAAAAGTTGCAATGATTGACTATATCGCCGAAATTTTAGCCAATTTTGCAAAAGTAGGCGATGCGTGTTCGTCTTCCTTCATTACAATAGGTAAGTTATATAATCACTTGTACGGTTCTCCGTTTAACACTAAATCAAATCGAATGAAACACACCGCTTTCACTCTCCATTTAAAGAAACATGAAGCATTAATTGGAAAATTGCAATGCTAGCTATTTTAGTTCAATTTTCATAATGATATTTTAATATAAAAATTTACAGTCTATCCGGTAAGCGTTTCTACAGAATGACTGATTGATTTTCAATTATCTATACAACATAACAAACAATGAATGAGTTATCTAAATTAGGTCAATGGAGAGTATATCATCTTCCCTCAAAAAAATGGTTGTCTCAAACATCTATGGAATTAAATATATCCAATAGAATAACTTCATTGTATTGGAATCGAAAATCTACAGTCACAAACAATTCGTGAATGAGTAATTTGCTATCATAAACAAATTATAAACCACTACAAATAAATAAAGTACAATAATAATTAGGGTCACAGCTATAGGAGAAGAAATCAACAAATCTAATGAGAATGACTAGTGTAAAGTATAAGACAAATTGACTGAACATTATTTGATAATATTTTGCAAATAAAGAACATAAAATATTAAATTGTATCAGTGAATTTTCATATTAACGACTTAATAAATATAGGTGATATGACATGAATGACTAAGGTGTATATGACGTTTTCTCCTATCGAAATGTACGCATACAGTCAGTCACACGTTGGTATCCTTACAATGGAAATGTTACTGCTTTCGCGTGGTAGTTTTAATAAACTTTGTCTTCTCATTGCACCTTGTAAATTAGTAAAACAAATCAATTGACTTAACTCATCAACTGTTGACTATTGCTGAACATAATTCATCATGAATGACATTTCAATTAATAGTTTATGCTTTCGGAACATTATTTTTTAAACTATGTTCTTATCAAGTCCTACAGGTATACAAACAAAATAACCATTTGAATGAAAAGCAGCGTTAAATTCACACTGGAAAGAAATTTTTTGTAAACTATTTTATTAAACATTCTATAATGTGGTAACCGTTGTTTGACAGATTTACACTTATCTAAAAAATTATCATTTTAATTGCAACCGACAAGATGTTTACAACTAAAGTATTTCACTTTAATTCAGAGACCAACTACTGCGACGCGTTTCGTTTAGATTTGGATGAAATTTCTAATAAGATTATCTCAGTCGTTATAATTGAATAAGTTTCGCCCGGTTACTATATTTGTAATATACATTGTAAAGTTAAAGATATCTCTACAGTGTCATTAATATTACCCTATATTATGCAGAGTATTTATCGACGCACCCCCAATGAGAACGCAGTGTGTACCTCTTCTCTAGGGCCACTTGTAGTGTACCTAATTATTTATGACCCGTATTGACTTCATATAAGTTGACTTGCATAAGATTTATGCTTAAAAATCCACTATTATCATTTCGCTTTTTATTTAACGGCAGCTTGACGAGATTTTCGCAGACCTTTTTATATTTAGAGATTGATATATATATTAATCAGTAAATGGGAATTATTTAGTTAAGGGTCAGCATTGCAATCAGCCTTCATACCCATCACATCAATCATCAATTATGAAACAAAAGGCTACTCAAATAACTTGACCAAGATAACAGACCTCTATTAATTAACTGAATTTGTATCTAACTGTGACTCCAGTGACATGTATGATTCAATTAAACCGATTGGATCAAATACATCTCGACTATAGACGGGATAGTCACGAGCTCACCTCACCCAATTCTAGCTGATCTCTTCGTGGCAAAGCTAAAAAATGGAACGCTTAATGAGGCTATTAAGAAGCTTGATCTATACTGCCGCTACACCGATTACACATTTATTATTGCATAACAGAATATCAATACAGGAGAACTCCCTGAACAATTCAACAATGTACATCTAGCAATTTCGTTTACTGAAGATGAGTGTGAAAAAAAGCTGAATTTCCTTGACGTCACACTAAGCATGCGAAGTGATGGCTAATTTAAATAGAAGCGTGTACAGAAAAGATCCCTCTGCTTATCAATATTCTCACTTTTATGGTTTTAAACCTATCCGTTACATCAAAAATTTGGTTAGACGTCTGGTCTGATCCCACCACGTATTTTAATCTCCAGACACTTTTTTGGTAGCGATTTCTAAGACGCTTCACTACATACTACTTATATGCCACCTTGTGTGCAACATCCACCACAATAATACTAGGTTGGATCAGTCAGTCAGTCAGTTGCAACGTAGAACTTCGTACGTATGTACATGAATTCATGCTGCCATACCAAATTAGCAAAGAGAAGCAAATGTCAAATCAAATCCCATAGTGATAAAGATAGTAGAGGTATTAATGGTAATGAAGAAGACTAGGGTTTGAAGATATTATTCAAGAAGTATAATTCAGTGAGATAAGGTTAGAAAGACAAAGGGAGAGGTGCTGACGATTCCAGAAGATTAGGATTTGAGAGAGCTAAACGAATGGATGCACTTGCGCCATTGCCAACGATTTTGAGCCATGTTGTTCAAGGTCTCTAACCATCGGTGACTATTGTCTCGCGGACCGCAACCAGGTAGCCTACATCTACCAACATGACTTAGTCCACTTGTCAGTGACTTCATAGATTTCTGCCATGTTTTGGTCTGGCCGCCCCTAGCTTTCTTCCAACCTACTCCTACACTGCAAAACATAGCTCGTCGCGGCAATCGGCGGTTAGGCATTCGTAACATATGTCCCAACCACCTCAACTGATGAAGTTTCACCACTTCATCTATTGATCTGCCATCCTTACCTAGTACTCGTTTCCTAATGACAGCATTGCTTACTCGGTTGTCCCACGATATACGAGCAATGCTTCTTGAACATCTATGATCGAATACTAGCAACCTACGAACATCTACTCTTAACGGCCATGTTTCGCATCCATATGGGAGAACGGAGCGAATTGCTGAGCAGTAAACCCGTCCTTTGGTTAGAGAAAAGATAACTCGCCTACGCCATAAACGGCGTAAATTGGCAAGAGCAAATCGAGCTTTCTGTATCCGCGTTGAGATTTCGTCAGTCACCAGGCTATCAGCGCTGATGAAACTCCCCAGATAAGTGAAGTGATCAACACGCTCGACTACTTCACTCCCTATCACTAGTTCAGGTACCGATGCAACCCAGTCTTGAAGCGACATTTTGCATTTCGAGGGGGAAAACCGCATCCCCAACATGCTCGCATTGTTGCTTATGATAGTCAGAAGACTGCATTTTGTCAGTGTCTTCACCAAGTAGGACTATGTCATCGGCATACTCTAGGTCAGTAGGTCATTTTCCTGGTAGAAGGTCAACCCCTGAAAAATCTGACGAGCTTAATGTTAACCCAAAGAGGATGTCTACGACAAAGTTAAACAAGAATGGAGAGAGTGGAAATCCCTGACGGACACCACTTGATGTAGAGAATTCAGATGACAGTTCGCAATAAGCTCTCACTCGACCAGTGGTGTTCGAGTAGAGAGCTTGTATAAGGTTAATGTACTTCTTTGGTACACCTTTCAATGACAGACACTGCCACAGAGCCTCACGATCAACAGAGTCAAATGCCGCCTTAAGGTCGAGGAAAACAACTATTGTAGGACGTCTAAATGTGTGTCTGTGTTCCAGGACCTGTCTAAGTGTGAAGATGTGGTCTATACAACCACGTCCAGGTCAGAAATCAGACTGGTTTTCTCGAGTCTGCTATTCACGAGCTCTGGTTAGACGTCTAAGTATGATGGAGGGTAACAAGTTAGAAACTATAATAGTTAGACTTATTCCCCTGTGATTGTCACAAGAGGACTTTTTTCCTTTCTCGTAGATTGGGACAATTAGCGACTGAGACCAGTCAGATTGGATTACGTCCAGTTCCCAGATTCTACCAAAGATCTCGGTCAGTCTAACTGTTAAAACTGGATCACCATACTTAAACATCTCAGGGGTAAGCCTATCAGGACCTGCTGCTCTACCTCCGTTTAGATTTCCTATAGCTTCCTCAACTTCATGTAGACTAGGAGGACTTAAATCGATTTGCCATTCAGGATGACTGGGGATCGTGGGCAACCGAAGTGTGGCTGAAGACCAGATGAACTGGTCCCTAAAGTGTTCTGCCCATCGGTCCAATCTCCTGGATTGAGAATGGATAATAAGACCATCCTTTTCCGAGATAGTCTCACTCACATTCAGGTTCCTAATACCGGCTTCTTTGATAAGGCGGAAAAGTCGTCTAGTGTTGCCTATTGCCGCTGCCTTTTCCATCGCTTTTGCTTTCGCCGCCCACCACCGTTCGCGGTCGTTAGGTAGGCTTTTTATCAGTCTGTGCCTAAGCTGACTTCGCTCTTCGTCAGGTTGGATCAGGGTTATTATCGATCAAATCAAGATATAGTACTAGTACACGGTCAGGTCAGGTCATTTACAACGTAGAACTTGGTACTTACGTACACGGAATCATTAACTGCCGATTTCAGTCGTATCAGGACGCTCAAAATTCCTAATATGGGTCCGAGAGCTCATTATTTACATAAGTTAGACTGCCCAGAAAAATACTTATAAGAGAATGTTTCATGAAAACGCTTTCAATTTCTGTTTTACAACCTGAATTTCATCCAGTTTCAAACTGTAATAACCATAAATAACTGTCTGTTGGCATGAAAAAAACGTTTATATAGTATTGAAACTACGGGCAATTAGGCTCTTGATACAATGATATTCGATTGTACACAAAAATGATTAACCAAAACAAATAACCAATCGAAGTCTGACTACGAAATAGATCGAATCTATGAAAACGTGTTATGGCAGAAAAGGTTAACTAAAACTAAACTTGTAGACATGTAAGTGAAACTTACCAAATTTAAGAGCAGCAGACAATTGTTGCGAACTATCAGCATATTCACTGTTTATTGCATTCGATGCAGATATAGGACTAGTATGCGTACAGCTAGATTGCTTTATCACACTATCACGCGCTAAATATATTGCTCTATAAATTAACTGTAAGCATATGAGAGATCCTAGAATGCCAGTGTTTAACGATAATTGGTTTGAATTAATTTGACCATTCTGAGAACGCCATGTTGGACCATGAAGCCAGTAGTCAGGCATATTTAGCCAGCAAATAGTACAGATCTAAAATAAACACAAAGAAAAACATATAAGTAATCAACTGTTTCCAGAATACTTGGTATATATATATATATATATATATATATGTACTCCAAAGGGTTATTTTAAGTTTGATATTACGTATAGAATGGAGAAAAAACACTACATATCTAGAAGATAGACAGAATCATAGATAAACTCATCTTCAAAATTCTACTGAAAACTCGGTATGAGGATAAAAGGTTTATTTCTCAAGGAAATTAATGAGATGGATTTCACAGAACTTATTGGGATAAACAGAATTGATCAAGACAATTAAAAAAGTTGACTGATTAAGACACTGAGTCATACGTAGGAAACTTCTATCTGAAGTTTGTGCTGATGATGTTGTTCAGAAGAACAATGAATGCTTCTCAACTAAAACATCATTACCAAATATCAAGAACAGATTACGCTTAAATTTGTAATGATTATGACAAGTACTATGACTGGCCGTAAAATTCCTAGTCTATGCATCTCATAGGTTTGAGACATATTTTAGGAAGTACATTATAAACGTTTAATGTCAGATGTAAAAAATGGCTAATCAACTCACTTTATATGAGCCTGAAACATAATGAGGACAATTCATGGATGCACTAATCCATAAAGAACTTGAGTCATATGGTGACTGAACCCCATAATTCACGTTATTCGTGGTAACATTATGAGCGCTTGTGATACATTTTTTTGGAAAATTTTCTCCAGATCTCAGAGGCAATTCACTATCGGCATGGATACAGTACGAATCAAAATAGTGGTCGCTATCTACTTGCATATCTACTAAACTTGCCGTTTCTTCTGAATAACTGGAAGTTCTTTGTTTGAAATCACAGTCGTCATTATGCATACTTGAATATTGTCTCTTGATTTCTGATTCATCTGGACTGAACAGCTGGCGTGTCTTTTCCAGGGATTCAAAGGTTCGTAACTGTTATGAATAAAAACATAATAATCACTATAAGGATGAGATTTTTGAGTCATATTAAAATCAAGAATTGATCAATGTTAGACCAGGACTAGAGACTTTGAAGCACTAGACAGCTGTTCAGTTCTAGTACGGGACTCACAAGCAGTGCATGTGGTGATCGAACCCAGGACTTCCGGTCTCACCTGATAAGGATTAACCTCTTGAAAAGACAAATATAAAAAACATGCTTCGTAGGTAATCTACATTACGGAAGTTCCTAGAGTCTTACCCTCGAAACTTCAAGACTGTGTATGAAGGAATCAACCAGTACCTTTGGTAGGCTTTGTCTTAACATCAGCATGTTTACTGACAATTCAATGTAACTGTATTTACTCACACAGAAACAGTATTCGATCGTCGGTCGAGGGGTATCTATAAACATATCACAATGTTAGCTAAACACGCTATTTTACATGCCCCAGACTCCTTAGTCGGAAATCTAAAATCAACTTACAACAGTGGTGAGAAAGAGATTCTTATATCACAAAAATATCAGCTAAAACTATGGCGTGAAGTTCAGAATGAGATGTGCGTTGTGATCCATAGTTGTCATAAATCGAAGATTATTGAAGTGGTGTGAAAATCAAGTTCTACTCTACTACGAATATATTTGGGATGATCAACAGTATATCAAAACGGAAACCTCGGAAGCCACTTACACCTGAACTTCGTTCAAATACTTTGTATAACCACAACGATCCAAGGCTTACTAATCCCGCTGCCAGACCCAATAATATCAAATAATGCTTGTATCTGGAACCTAAAGTAAAGGTGATGGATATAAAAAAATATTAAGGTACATATATATATATATATATATATATATATATATATATATAATCATATCACAACACTGATGTAATGTACAGTCGTACATCTTGTTAATATAATAAGCAGCGAGAGATCAGGCCGAATATGTATCAGCCAATTTCGCCAGATATCAATACGCTGAGTTGAATACCAGAATAGTAGAAGTAATAGCACCAGTGTTAGAAATCAGTTACAAAGTAACGCTCTTCCTGAATCACTTGTTTTTCATTTTCTAATACCACTTACAAATACTACACAGTAGTTGTATTTAGCCAGCCTAATCTGTGTGGGACGTATTTAAACTAGGAAAGAAATAGGTGACATTTCAATGGTAGAACTACTAAGCTGCAGGTATGCTTTGAAAATTGGTTGACAAACAGCCATGAAAACATACTTCAGTATCTGCATTTAAATCGAAATTCTGGTAAACTCCTTGTTTTAACTTATCCTACTACAAAGAACCCGATTCATAATAAAGTTTTCGTTCGGGAACACCTAGATTATTTGGCAGAGTCCATTGCTATCCACACTAAACGTTTTGAATAGTGGTATTCGAAAATCGAACAAACACAAGACTTCATGGCCCTATAGAGGATACGAGATGATGTCAGTATAAAAGGTCTTAAATGGTACAAATTTAAGTTTCAGCACTGACTCGTTATTAAAGTAGGATCTATTTGCAACTAAATGAATAACGTTAATATGTCAGTCCAGTGAATCAACATGGCATGAAATTTTATCCGTGGACTTTTTCCTAGACTTTGCATAAGACGTTCAATTAACTCACTGATTAAGAAATAAGTGATCGCTAGTGCTGAGGTAAATTACGTGGTGTGCACGAAATTCATAGCTTCGGCAAAGCTACAAATTTGAAGTCGTAAATAATTAGTGAAAGTTATAGTAAAGGTCCGAACCACAGTCAACATTTTGTTATTTATCATCAGCTTGCTTCTCGATGTCTAAACTTATGAAAATACGAAGCAAACATCTGAATTTTGTCGTTTTTAATGCTAGCACTTGATAAAATTCTCCGCTCATCACTTAGGTTTTAGCATGCATAATAATGCAGAAACGCTGAAATCATAAACAATGACTAACATTCGTTTGGAACTGATGTTTGGGATAATGGTCGAGCATTAGAGCGATTTCTTGAGACGAAAACAGCAACAGAAGTGCTCAGTCCACCATGATAAAGTTCCACAAATTTGAATGTCGGAAGACCTTCTTTTCTGTGACCTATAACATGTAGAAAGCCATGGCGATCTTGTCTCCGTTTAAAGAAATCAGCATTAGCATATGCGAATTTTAAATAATCGTAGTAGAAACACTGATTACTATTCCGATATATTCTCTGTGCCGTTGGTATTCTCATATCCACTGAGTAGCCCACATATGAAATGGACTACAGCTTATTTCCAACAATTTTATCGAATAAGAAAGTGATGTGGTGAATTCCATGGGAACATTTTCAGCTAGCTTTTGTGCTGTGTTCAAAATGAATAACTCAAATGGTGACTATCCATCCAAATGTAAGCCATCCGAGCAAGACATTTAAAACTACGCCAAATACCAACGACCTTACCAGTATCCCTTTCATGAAAGAGTATAAACCGGTTGATATTTTTACGCTCGCTTGTTGTTCTTTTGATACGGTTCCAGATATTTCGTAATGTTCAATGAATGATAGTCTAGACATTTGATTCTGCTAATTCAAGTCACTTGGTAGTTCTTGACAAATTTGTATATCCAGTGATTTGAGTGAATGCGTTCGTCTCCAGGCAGTAGGATTTCTAAATATAAATAGCAGTCATATTATTAGGCAGGAAATCAGTTGGTTTTAATGTGAGGAATAAGACAGAAAGCCCTAATGCTAAAGAGATTTTATAACTATGTAAATAAATAAGTTTATTCATTGGTAGTGGAACTCCACCAGTAGAACCTTAGGGGCTACTGCCGGTCCTAAGCCCGGATAAAGGAGGAAGGTTGGTCGTAGGGTTGGCGACCCCATTCCTTCGAAATCTAACTTTCCAAAAAAACGTTAACCAGAAAAAATGACTCAGACCATTTTAACTCTGCCCTGGGAGTTGGAACAAGAATTATGACGTCACGTGATGAAAGTCGGGTTCCCTCGGAATTCACGTTGCCGATGCCTCTTCTGACAACCAGAGCAACCATTCTTTTGGGCACATAGAATGTTCGTGCATTGTGGGAGACTGGAAGACTATTTCAACTTGCGGCAGAAATGAAAAGATACAACCTCGACGTGCTCGGCATACACAAAGCCACACGGATTTCACTGGACCACACTACTCAAAACCAAATTGACCATATCTGTATCGACAAAAATTTCGGAAGGACTATGGATGATGTGAGAACCAATAAAGGGGCTGATATAGCTTCAGATCACCAGTTGCTAGTCGCAAAAATTAAACTAAAATGAAAGAAGCACTGGGAGACCTGAATGCGAAGGTTGGAATGGACAACACTGGATATGAAGACATCATGGGACGACATGGACTGGAAGAAAGAAACGAAAATGGTGAGAGATTTGCAAACCTATGTGCCTTCAACAAACTGGTCATCGGTGGCACAATATTCCCGCACAAACGCATACAAAAAGCTACATGGACTTCACCGGACCACACTACTCAGAAACAAATCGACCATATCTGTATCAACAAAACGTTCAGAAGGACTATGGAGGATGTGAGAACTAGGAGAGGAGCTGATATAGCTTCAGATCACCATTTGCTGGTCGCCAAAATGAAACTGAAACTAAAGAAGCACTGGACAACGCGACAGACAACATCACACAAGTTTAATATGGCCTTTCTTCGGGATACTTTAAAACTCAACGAATTCAAGGTAGCCCTCACCAATAGGTTCCAGGCCTTTCAGGATCTACTCAATGGAGAGGAAGCAACATTGGAGAACAATTGGAAAGGGATTAAGGAGGCAATCACTTCAACATGTCAGGAGGTCCTTGGTCGCAAGAAGCAGCATCATAAGGAATGGATCTCTGTTGATACTCTCGCAAAAATTGAAGAAAGGAGGAACAAGAAAGCAGCAATCAATGTCAGCCGAACAAGAGCGGAGAAAGTTACCGCACAAGCTGCATACACAGAAGCAAACAGGGAAGTGAAGAAGAGCATCAGAGCTGACAAACGAAAATATGTGGATTATCTAGCAATGACGGCGGAAAAGGCTGCAAGAGAAGGAAACTTGAGACAATTGTACGAAACTACAAAGAAGCTGGCCGGAAACTATCGTAAACCAGAACGACCAGTGAAAAGCAAGGAAGGCAAAGTAATCAGCAACACTGAAGAACAGCGAAATAGGTGGGTAGAGCACTTTAAGGAACTCTGGAATCGACCAGCTCCACTGAACCCACCCAACATCGAAGCAGCATCCACGGACCTCCCAATTAATATTGGCGCACCTACGATTGAGGAGATCAGTATGGCCATCAGACAAATCAAGAGCGTCAAAGCAGCAGGACCAGACAACATTCCAACAGAGGCAATGAAAGCAGATATGGAATCAAAATATTTCACAACCTATTCAAGAAGATTTTGGATGAGGAACAAGTACCATCAGATTGGAAAGAAGGATACCTCATCAAAATACCAAAGAAAGGCGATCTCAGCAAGTGTGAGAACTACACAGGCATCACTCTTCTTTCAATACCAGGCAAAGTCTTCAACAGAGTATTGTTAAACAGAATGAAGGAGTTCGTAGACGCCCAACTTCGAGATCAACAGGCCGGATTTCGTAAGGATCGATCATGTACTGACCAAATTGCTACATTACGGATCATTGTGGAACAATCAATTGAATGGAACTCACCACTCTACATCAACTTCATCGACTACGAGAAAGCATTCGATAGCGTGGATAGGAAAACACTGTGGAGGCTTGTTCGACACTACGGTGTGCCTGAGAAAATAGTCAACATCATACGGAATTCTTATGATGGGTTTAACCGCAAAATCATGCACGGAGGACAGCTAACAGACTCTTTCGAGGTGAAGACCGGTGTCAGGCAAGGTTGCTTACTCTCACCCTTTCTCTTTCTCCTGGTCATCGACTGGATTATGAAAATGTCGACGTCTGGAGGGTAGCACGGTAAACAATTGACAACTAGGACGCAGCTGGACGATCTGGACTTCGCAGATTATCTGGCTCTTCTATCGCACACGCAACAAAAAATGCAAGAAAAGACAACCAGTGTAGCAGCAGCCTCAGCAGAAATAGGTCTCAACATACATAAAGGAAAAAGCGAAATTCTCCAACGCAACACAACATGCACCAAACAAATCACTCTTGATGGAGATGCCGCGGAGGACGTTAACATCTTTACATATCTTGGCAGCATCATCGACAATCAAGGTGGATCCGATGCAGATGTGACGGTGCGGATTGGCAAAGCAAGGGCTGCATTTCTACAGTCGAAAAACATCTAGAACTCCAAACAACTTTCAACCAAAACCAAAATCAGGATTTTCAATACAAATGTCAAGACAGTTCTACTGTATGGAACGGAAACTTGGAGAACTACCAAAGCCATCATCCAGAAGATGCAAGTTACTATTAACAGTTGTCTACGCAAAATACTTCGTATTCGTTGGCCACACACCATCAGCAACAACGAACTTTGGGAGAGAACAAGTCAGATTCCAGTGGAGGAGGAAATCAGGAAGAAGCGGTGGAAGTGGATAGGACACACACTACGAAAAGCACCTAACTGCGTCACGAGACAAGCCTTCACATGGGACCCTCAACGCAAAAGGAAAAGAGGAAGGCCAAGGAACACAGTATGCCGAGAAATAGAAAAAGATATGAGAAGAATGAACAAACATTGGACAGAATTGCAAAGGGAAGCCCAGGACAGAGTTGGTTGGAGAAAACTGGTAGGCGGCCTATGCTCCATTGGGGGTAACAGGAGTAAGTAAGTAAGTATGTAAATTGGTAGTGAAGAGTGTGTGAGAGAATATAAGTTTACGCAAAGAATAGAAAACAGAGATAATAAGATAGAGAGGTTAATTTGGTAATCTAAGGAAAGGATAGTGATAAAAATAAGTGGGTTCCAAACATGCATCAGACAGAACTGTTCCAAGCGGGAGGTGATAGTCGCTATCCGACTACATGCTTGTCAACTCTCTTTTTGAAGCTATCCACTGGAGAGGTATGTAGTGACTTAGGCTGGGAGAGCATCCCAAGTTGGCACAACTCTTAAAAGCCATTAAATTTTATGTCGAATATAGTTCAGCACGATTAAATGGACATGTCTTAAAGGTCATCCTCAATTGATTCCAGTTGAATATGGGCTAATCTTGATTGCATTCGATAGTCACAGATGACAACTAAATTAACGTCATACTTAGCAACCGATGTAGTTATTAGATGCGCACTTTTATGATAAGCATTAGATATACAAGTAAAAATGTAATTGAATATAGAATGTTCTAAACCTTGACTTGGTTCTTGCTTTCTATTATGACAGAGTGAAAATTCATTTAAAGGAAAAGACTACAAATTCCAAAGTGTGGTTTTCTGACATCAGCTTCCAAAATGTAAAGACATTCAGCCAAACGGTTACAGGTTAGAACATGGAACGTATGTATATCAGTTCAAATTGCCATACATTATTATCACAGAGACGTGATTGTCAATTCAAATACCATGGTAACAGAGTTAGTAGAAGTATTAGCAGTAATCGGAGAGATTAGGGTCAGAAGATGTTATTCAAGAAGTAAAATCTAGTGAAATAAACTTAAAAAGAGAGCGATAAATGTGATGAATGTCCAGAGGATTAGAATATGGGAGGATATAGAGAGTGGATGCACCTGCGCAATTGCAATCGATTTTGAGCTATGTCGTTCAAGGTCCTTAACCATCTGTGACTCGTCTCGCTGACCCCAACCAGAGAGCCTACATCTACCAAAATGACTCTGTCCACTTGTCAGTGACTTGCTCTTGTGTCATGTCGAGCTTTATGTATCCGTGCCGAAATCTCATCACACACCGGGTCATTAGCCCTGTTGAAACTCCCAAAATAAGTTAAACGGTCGTCATGCTCAACTACTTCAATCCATATTACTTAATGAAGTACAGACGCAGGCGGATCCCGAAGTAAAATTTTGCATTTTGAGGAGGATAATCGAAACCGAATATGCTCGCATTGTTGTTTTCTTTGGTGAGAAGACTCTGCATTTTGTAAGACTCTTCACAGAATGGAACAGTGTCATGAACATATAGTGATGATCATTTTAACGATTGTCTGCAGTTAACTATATCTGTAGAATATATCATCATTCCTGCTTTCGCAACACACTACTGATCGTGGTAATTGCCTGGGATTACTTAAAGCGTTGTGAGTAGGCTCACGCTCGTTTTATCACTATACAATGCTAGGTAAAACGACTTTCCAAACACATGTTTTTCGGCAGATGCAAATCAGATCCACAAAATAAATTGTACCATAACCTTAAAATTAAAAGAAAAAATCAATGATTTAACGAATAATTGAAAACGTCAATAAGGAATCACGAAACCAATATATATAACAATAAAA